CCAGAAACTGTACCCTCCATTAATGTTCTGTCTGCCATGTGTTCCAGAAACTGTACCCTCCAATAATGTTCTGTCTGCCTCGTGTTCCAGAAACTGTACCCTCCATCAATGTTCTGTCTGCCTCGTGTTCCAGAAACTGTACCCTCCATTAATGTTCTGTCTGCCTCGTGTTCCAGAAACTGTACCCTCCATTAATGTTCTGTCTGCCTCGTGTTCCAGAAACTGTACCCTCCAATAATGTTCTGTCTGCCTCGTGTTCCAGAAACTGTACCCTCCATCAATGTTCTGTCTGCCTCGTGTTCCAGAAACTGTACCCTCCATCAATGTTCTGTCTGCCTCGTGTTCCAAAAACTGTACCCTCCAATAATGTTCTGTCTGCCTCGTGTTCCAGAAACTGTACCCTCCATCAATGTTCTGTCTGCCTCGTGTTCCAGAAACTGTACCCTCCATTAATGTTCTGTCTGCCTCGTGTTCCAGAAACTGTACCCTCCATTAATGTTCTGTCTGCCTCGTGTTCCAGAAACTGTACCCTCCAATAATGTTCTGTCTGCCTCGTGTTCCAGAAACTGTACCCTCCATCAATGTTCTGTCTGCCTCGTGTTCCAGAAACTGTACCCTCCATCAATGTTCTGTCTGCCTCGTGTTCCAGAAACTGTACCCTCCATCAATGTTCTGTCTGCCTCGTGTTCCAAAAACTGTACCCTCCATTAATGCTCTATCGAGGCCACTATGACTCTTAAACGTTAGTTCTGTGTCCTTTATAGGGCGTTGCCGAACCAGCCTCAGCATTTTTTGCTGTTGTAATTTTTCTAGGCACATTTTACGTATAGTAATTACTACGACTCATAGAGTAGCCAAAATACCAATTTGTAGTACGCAGCTAATCTAGTCTTTAAAAAACAAAGCATTCAAGGAGGATCAAAGACTCCCGTTCCCCCGGCATATAAGTAATTATTGCGTCACTTGTAACGGCTGAACTTGGCGGAGCTAGACTTTTTCTAGAAATGACCTTGGCTTCCAGGTCGACCTAGCCTTGAATGGGTACCGGGTAAAGTCCTTTGAAATAAAGGCGGCCGGTGTGCTGCTGACCACATCACCCACCAAGTGCCGATTTGTCAATAAAATATAGGTCTAGCCCTATATGCCCAATACGCCTGAAGGCTTGACAATGGGCCCTTTACTGCAACTGCTACAACAGCCCGGTTCAACGTGTAGCACTATTTTGGTAGGGAATTGGGCACTCTTCCGATTAACGGTCCCTTATTATTCAAAGACAAAAAATCCCATTCAGGGCCTCAAGAGGTCGTAGTTAGGGACTTGAGAGGTCATGTACTTAAAAATATGGAACAGGAACACTACGAACTATGCTTTCTTTTATTATATAATTTCGTTTGAACGAAATTACCGAGTCTTCGCTAGTATAGCTGATAAGCAGTCTGCTTGTTACGCCGGTGGTCGGACTTTTCTTTAAAAGGGTGGTTTGCACGTTGTGTACAATTATTTCACGGCATTATTGGTACGTATTGTTCCATATTTTGTTGTTCCATATTTTGTATAACCTCTTTATAACCCCTTGACCTCTTTGTAACCTCTTGAACCCCTTGAGGCTCTAAAAGGAATGTTTTGGACAGTAAATAATAAGGGACCGGTATTCGGAAGAGTGCCGGGAATTGTCAAAACCTTATCTATAATAAGTACAACAATTTTTCTAGTTAGCGCCTGGGGTTATGAGAGCCAATCAGATGTTACTAGACCAGGGTCGTGTTTAGCAGACAGCAAACACAGGGGGGAAAAGGTGCTTTAACTTGCTCATTTTGGTGGACAACACGTAAGTAGATTTTTAATTATAAAATGCAAGCTAGAAGCTGTGAACACTGAAGGTTACTTGTTGAAGTATGAAACATGTAAATCAAACGAAAAATCCACTTTAAGTTGATAGCTAGAGTGATATAAGCCAGTGAGATGCAACTACTTGTTGAACTAGAATATAGCAGACAGTAAACACAGCAGGTTAAAGTTAAGTGCTTTGAATTCGGCATTTGGGTGGATAATCCGTAAGTAATTTCATGATCATAAGCTAAAAAAAATATTTGAGCATGAGTTTAAAAGCTAGAAGTGATATTTTACGGTGAGAAATTATATACAGGCGGTTAAAATTAAGCAGACGTGGGAGATTTGTCGAAATGACGAACGAACGAACTTTTATTTTTTAAAGTGTCGTGCAGATTGGTTGTTGAAACACGCAACTTTCACGAAGCATTTCTATTTATAGAGAGTCCTTTCATATAAGGGACCACAGTGTTTTGAGAGACTCGTTAATAGCGGCTTGTTTACGGCAAATTGTGGGACAAAATAACTAGGCTTATCTAACCTTACTAAAAGAAAAAGACCAAAGTACGTTGAAGACCTGCATACTAAGAAACCACTATAGTACACTTAATATATCAGAAGTTTTATTACAAAAGGGTTGAAAATAGTCTTAAGTTACGACAGAAGTGGAGAAGATGAAATAAAACACCAAACTGTGGCTATAGTTGGTATATTTCCGTCTTTGCAGACGATGGTGTTGTATTGCGGAGCTGCATAGAAATCCTAGCCTATGTCAGTGATACGGGTTACCGACAGGACCGGCTCGCCCTTAAGAAATGCCTTCCACATTCTGAGCTTAGGAATACAGGTCCATTGTTGCGACAGCGTGTGAATGGCGTGCTCTTCTTCAGACAGCCAGCTTTTAATGAAGGATAAAGAAGAAGAAGATATCACTATTTAAAATTAAAAAAAAAAATTAAAAAACTGTAGGAATCTTTCACACCACTGGCGGCCCGTGGACCAAATACGGCCCGCACACTCATAGCAAGTGGCTCGGGCTCTCCTTGCAATAACGGTCGCTAGTTGGACGGCGGCGGCCGCTTAGTCGGAGTTCAGTCCCCTGGCTGCAGTGCAATTACGGAGTGGAAAAGCGGGTACGGCACAAATGACATAATTAGGGCTAGGGGTAGGGTTAGGGTTAGAGGTAGGGTTAGGGTTTGGGTTGGGCTAATGTGAGTCGCAGCGCATGGTCTAGACGCCATGTTGAACTCACTGTGTTTTGTGATTCGTGCCTTGTCCACTCCGTAATTGCACTGCAGCCAGGGGACTGAACTTCGACTAAGCAGCCGTCGCCGTCCAAGTAGCGACCGTTATTGCAAGGAGAACCCGATACCCATTTTCAGTTTGAAACCTAAGTAAACTTTGTTGAATAGCCCTGTGCTAGACCATATACTTTCAGAAACCAGCTGACACTCGATGGATGCTGTCATCAACAATATGTGACCACATTTACTTCCGATAACATTTCCAGGTATTAGTTTTAGGTTAGGTCAACTGGGGAGATGTAGGTGAATTTTACAAATCCTCTTTATTGCAGAAATTCTTTTTTCTTCTTTTTGTGATCACCTTCACTTCCCAGGTCATTTCCAATTATCAGTTTTAGGCTAGGTCAACCAGGGAGATATAGGTCCACTTCTGGACTTTGATCTTATTCCAGAACTTGAGCTCTGCATGCACATCCATTTTACAGATTTGGCTTTTTTGTATGCAGACTGTTGGTTCATCACCGCTCAAGCAGATGCACCCTGACTTTAAAGGAAATGCTCCAAATTAGTCGCTTTCTCTGATATGCTAGATGGGAAGGGAGGGAGGGGGAGAGGGCAGTGGGTCTATTCTTTTCCCTCCGAATTGGGCTACCCTGAACTAACACAGGAAAATGCAGATATACACACAAGACTTTTGGAGCAGCAGGTAAGCATCTATCTACTGCGCCATTATGGCTCCCTTTTATTCTACTTCTTCTTCTTCAGCATTCTGAGCCCTTGAGGTTCACTACTGCAGATATCACCGGCCTCCACTCATCTCTCTGGCTGGCCTTCTCTTTCCACTTGGTGCCATTAAGTGTTTGTAGGTCTGCCTGGATATTGTCTCTCCATCATCTTCTTGGTCTGCCTCATGGTCTACTCTCACTCAACTGCCTTGTGTGCACAGTTTTTGCTTCTCTGTCATGCCTGTTATTCTTATGGGGAAATAATTTATATTAACAGTTGACATCCAGTTGATATGAATTTCTTTGTAGTATACTTTCTCTTTTGTATTCATCCTCAAAAGGGCGGTTGGTCTTTTACAGCTAGGATGTGATATCTGCCTCTTCCTGCCCAGCACTGTATTTTCCGCAGTGCCTAATTAGTCACATTTTATGTGACATGCTCGTTAAGGGACAAAGTGTACATTCTTTGTCCTCCAAAATGAGAGAACAAGATGGTTGCCTCTGCAGTCCTCCTCAACCCTTACATCATTGCTGATAAGTTACATTTTTACACATCTTGTCCTTCCTTATGTAAATAACTACCTTTACTTTCCTTTTTTTACTGGTCTTATCTTCCCTTTTGTGAACAACTATCTTTACTTTCCTTTTTGTTAGTGGTCTTATCTTCCCTTTTGTAAATAACTACCTTTACTTTCCTTTTTGTTAGTGGTCTCATCTTACCTTTTGTGAATAGTTACTTTTACTTTCTTTTCTTTTAGTGTGAGTGTTTTTACATGTCTTGTCTTTCTATAAAGACCTTAACTTCCCTTTTTGTTACTCATTTTCCCTTATGTAAATAACTACCTTTACTTTCCCTTTTTTGTTACAGGTCTTCTGTTAACTTAAGTGAATAACTTCTTTTATTTTTAATTCTTGTTACTGTCTTTTCTTCCCTTCTTTAAATAGCTACCTTTGTTTTCTTTCTCTTTTTTTTTTTTAAACTGGTCTTGTCGTCCCTTATGTAAATAATTATCTTGACATTCCTTTGTTGTTGTGTTGTTTTTCTGGGTTTTTTTGTTTTGTTGTTGTTGTAAACTGGTTTTTATCTTTCCTAATGTAAAAACTACCTTTACTTTTCTCCTTTTTAACCAGTTTATATTTACTTCCCATGTGTGTATAACAACCTTAATTTTTCGTATGTTAACAGGCTCATCCGACAACGATGTCACTCATTTGGCTAGGTGTGTTCATCTTCCTCTTGTCAGCGGAGAAAACCATCTGCCAGTCACCAAACTTGGAACTGGAGGTGAATGAGCTTGTTTATGCAGGTATGGCCGCACGAGGAATCCCAACTGTGAGTCTGGCCGTTGTTCACAATGGGACTGTGGTACTGACAAAAGGTTATGGTGTCAAGGACATCATAACCAAGAGCTGTGTTGACGCAGATACTGTTTTTGGAATAGCTTCATTGACTAAAGCATTTACTAACGCTGTCTTAACTAAGATGCTCAGAAACAGTTCTGTGTGAGTATTTTTTTGTTTTTAAACTTGTTAAATCTTTACTGGGTAGGGCACTTACTTACCAGAACAGTACAGTTTGAGAAAACATATTTAGAATTTTTTCGAAGTTACAGACATCTTTCTCCCCTTTGTCTGAGTGCTAGAACTGTCATTTTTAAAGACCAATTGATACTCAGTCAGTGATTTGGACTGCATTGCGCCAGCCGCCTTTACTTCCCAGGACATTACCTGATACCCATTTCAGGCTGGGTCAGCCTAGAAGCCATGGTCAATTTTTAATACAATCTGCCCCGATGCAGATTTGAACCCTAGATCTTAGGGCCAGCAAATGAACATCTAGTCACTATACTACTGCAGCTTCCCTTACCAAAACAGTGGCCGGGATTGAATCCAAAGCAGTTTAAATTATTATTTTCTTCAGAAGACCAGATCAGTTTAAAAATTCCACCTTAATATGGATTTGAAAATATTCCCGCTGGACTGGCAGGTAAACATGCTAACCCGTGCACAACTGGGATCCTTATAAACAGACAGACAAACATAAAGATGGTTTGTATCGGCGACCAGGTTGTACATTGGCTGACCTGTATATGGCTTCATCGTTGGTTGGGACAGTATTTGGGTCTCTCTCTCTCTCTCTTGATCGCATCAACTCTGCCAGAGTCCTTTTCAGGGCTGCTTAGTAGCAAGCGATGCTAAGCCATTTTATATGGCTCACATAAACCTAGTCACAATTATAACCAAAAGCCCCTACCCCTCCCCCCAGGGGGGATGCTTGTTGGACGTGATGATTTTTTTGGTGGTGGGCAAAGCAAGTCAAGTCAGAAAGATGGTTTTCCCCGTGTGGGTTCCGGGGCCCCATTGTGGGAAAAACAAGAATAGACCCACTGCCTACCCAAAAGCATGTCGTAAGAGTCGACTAATTGGGGAGCTTGCTTTGAAGTTGGAGTACATCTGCCTGAAGGGCAAGGAACCAACAGTCTGCATTCAAGTGAATCAGATCTGTAAAACTGATGCACACGCAACACTCAAGTTCTGGAGCAGGACTGCAGTTCAGAAGTGGACGAACAATCAGAACTTTCCGCCAGAGTGTGCAGCTGGTAAACACAAAGAAGAAGAAGAAAGATGGTTTGATGAGTGGAAGGAAGAACAGATAGAAAGACATTCAGATTATAGACATAGGATGGTAGGAAACACTTTGATAGAACTTTGGATAGATAAGCAGACTGATAGGTAGAAAGATTTGTAGATAAATAGACAGATATAAAGATGAATGAATTGAATGAATTATCACTGTGGGGGTTCCTTCTGGGGACCTCATTGGGGAAAAGGGAGGGGGGGGGGTAGACCCCCTGCCCCAAAAGAAGTATATCCTAAAAGGTGACTAATCAGGAGGGGGTTCCCTTCAAAGTCAGAGTGCACATACCTGGCAGGTGAGGAACCAACAGTTTGCACACAAATAAGCCAGATCCAATACAACAGAAAACTCAAGTTCTTGAACAAGTCCAGAAATGAATTAACAACTAGATCTTTCCACCAAAGTTTACAGCTGATGAAAATTAAGAATAAGAAGAAGCTGAGTTCAAAACTGACATAACATTACTTGGGACATTCCCATAGGTGCTCCATCCTAATTTTCAGAAGCCTGCACTATGTTTCTGTTCCAGATGTACAATTAGCAGTCTGATTGTCTTTTTGGCGTTCACCAGCTGTAAACTCCAGTGGAAAGTTCTGGTTGTTCATCCACTTCTAGAGTTTAGACTTTTTCAAGAATCTGAGTATTACTTGCATATCCATTTTACAGATCTGACTTATTCGTATGCAGACTGTTGGTTCCTTGAATCTCAGGTAGATGCACTCTTGCTTTGAAGGAAACCCCCATTTAGTCGACTCCTAAGACATGCTTGTTGTAGAGGAAGTGGGTCTATTCTTGTTTTACCTACAATGGGGCCCGGGAACCCACACGGGAAAGTCTGATTGCATTGTGTTATCACAATTGTCCTCAGTGCCAATTTGGCAATCCTGTGCATGCCAAATCCTCCAATGCAGCAGCCACTCAATGGTACTTCTACTGATCTTTTCCATGAGGAGCTGGTTATAATGTCTTCTGTCTTGTCATAAAGGCGGCATAGACGTGCTTCACCATGCTTTACTCCCAGGTCATGCAGTAGTGTTAATGTCTCATAGGAATAATGCTTTCACAATCAATGTCTGACTGTGTACCCCTCTTGACTTTACTCAAATGAACTGGTTAATGAAGTGAAAAAAATACTAACATAAAGCCTACTTTCTCCCTGACTACCAGCTATGATCTCTCTTCCACTATCAAGACAATCCTGGGACAAAACACAACCTTCAACAGCACGCTGCTGTCCAACTTCGCCACATTGAAGGACCTGATGGTTCATGCAATGGGCATTCCTAGAAACAACTTTATGCGGCTGGACAATGAGCTAACCAGAGAAAACCTCATGGCGTAAGTTTTTTTAAAGCAGTCAGGTGCCGTTTCCACAGTGAACGTTGACTGCAATACTTCTTCTTTGTTCACCGGCTGTAAGCTCCAGCGGAAAGTCCTGGTTGTTCGTCCATTTAGACTTTTGACCTTGTGCCAGGGCCAGAGTTTTGCATGTACATCTGTTTTCCTGGCTTATTTGTGTGTAGTTTGTTGTTCCTTGCTGCTCAGGCAGATGCACTCAGACATCAAAGGAACTCCCTAATTAATCGACTCCTTGACCTGCTTGTTGAAGAGGCAGTGGGTCTATTCCTGTTTTCCTCACAATGGGGACCTGGAACCCACATGTGGATAACAGCAAACTGATTTCCAACATGCTCTGTCCCTTTTTTTAGTTGTACACTTTCTCAGACTGCTGTTCATGCATCTCTTGATGTTGTCTGCCTATTGGTATCATTGTCTACCTCTTGCTTTCTTGTGCTCGACCTTTCCCTCCAGTATAGTTTTTAAAGTGTTTTATCTCTTTATAGGACCAGAATATTTGCCTCTGATTTCTTTCTTTCAGTAACTCTCTTTTCATTTGCAGTCTCTTCATGAACTCTGTATTTGATTGTTTAAATTCTTATTCAGATATGTATGTTCCTCTTTGTGGTTTCCAGTGCCTCATTTGGGGGGAAAATAATAAACCCACTGCCCATAACAAGAAATGAATCCAATGAACCGTGACTACAAGCTCAATGAAAGGGAGAAGGGGAGTAACATGCACACAACAGACAAATCTAAGTTTCAGCTGCAGCCTTTCTCAGCATGAACAACACAGCAGTAACAAAGTGCGAAGTTCTGCAACCACCAGTGCCCACCAGGGTGTCATGTCAATATCTATAAAATATAGGAATAAAAAAAGGTGATTAGAATGGATTAAATAAAATAAATAAAGGATTTAAAATGGTAATAAAAGTAATTTTTAACAATATATTAAAATATATAATACTGGGGATAAAAATACTCATTGTCCATAAAACTAATAAAATAAAAGTAAGATGAGTAAAATTGTTGAGAGGAAGAGATGCTGAACATTCATACCTGAAAAGCTTAGAACATGGATGAGGTGATTTTCCAAAGAAAAACGCATGGTTTGATCACAAGAGCAAGATTTTATGGTAGTGACAGATATGTCTTCTTTGCCTCTATGGTCAGAGCTGTTGAAATTGAGAGGGATTATTTTGAGTGTCTTCTTTTAAATATCTTAAAGATGTTCACAGAAACGATAAGCTATTTTCCTTTCAGTTTTCCCCAGTATATACCTTGTCGCATCTTTTACAGGTTTTAGCAGAAATAACATTTCAGGATTCACATGGAAATGCTTCCCCAATCTGGAAAGGACCATTACTAAAATTGACCATTGAGATCTGGACAACAAATGGACATGTTTTGCACATAGTACGGGAGCATCTCTCAGTCCCAAAAGGAAGTTCTTTGTGGATCAGTGAGAAAAGGTGACTATTTAGGGATCTCCTGAAATCTGATGTTTTGGACCAAAAGTTGCAGTTATCACAGCCTTGCTGTAAACATTACATACCAAGCCAGCCTCTGTTTTGTAAACACAAAGGAAGGAGAAGAAATGTATGTAAATACAGGCGAGATGCAGAACTGATAAATTAGCCTCATGTCGGGAGAATTCTAGGCAAAAGGAAGAAGGAGACTTGGGCTTAGCATCAGAGGCCCAAGGGGTAGTCAAGAGAGAGGTAAAAATCTGTGCGTCTTGTGTTAATTGGGCTTTCAGGTAGGAACCTAGGAACCCATGATGCATTCTTTGGGACTGAAAGAGTTCAATAACTGGACGGAAATTAATAATATATCACTAGGTATTAAGTAACTACCTAAACAACCTTTTGTTTACACTAGTAACACAAAGTCACGTTGGAAAAAAATCTGCACAGGTCCGGATTTGAACCTACGATGTTCAGGCCATCAGGTAAGCATCCAGCAACAGGTCTAGAAAATAAAACATACAGGTACTGCTCAATTATACCTGAAGTGTCAATGACATAAAAGAGTCCTTTACTTTCTGTTGTAGCCTACATGAGAATATCATTTGGACTTTGGAGATGGGGATGATGACATATTGTCTGCAAACACAGAGCAGCTTCATGCATTACACTTGGTAAATCTTCTCAGTGATAGCTGTTAGGGCAGTATATCGAGAACTAGCAGTAATGAAGGGAGATGTGGACTGTTCCAGTGTGTAGCTTAGCAGCTCAACGTCTGGTAGGAGAAACTGAGTAGATATGGGCTTGGCATGCATGCTGTTTATCCTCTCCTGGCTGCTGCTTGAAAAGTTTAATGCTCTGAGATCAGAAGATCTCAATCTGGATGGCAGACCAACAGGACCTGAAGGTTTGATAGCATACCACTAAAGAATCTCAGTGCTGATGGCAGACCAATGTGGCAAGTCCAGACACCCCATTTTTTCTTCTTATTCTTCTTCTGCATTTATCCGAAGATGTAAATGAGTTGTTCCCATTTACAACATGGCTGTGATATTTGCACCTTTTAGCTGACACATCTAACTTCTGCAGGCCTTTGTTGCCTGGGTTAATCTCCCTGGAGATATTCCATTCAACCTCAAGGAAATTATAATTAGGGCATCTGTAACGGCCGCAACAGCTCCATGTAATCTACAGTCCTGTGCTGTGAGATATGGTCTTGATTCAAAAGCAGTATCATTGATTAACCACTACCACCATCTCCATCATCAAATTTATTTAATTTTATTTGACTGCATATCCCATCCCATTTGAATATACACGACTTTCACTTTACTCAAACAGGCGTTTGCAGTATCTGCCATCAACGAAAGAATTTAGAGGAAGTTTTGTCTACAGTGATTTGATGTATGGTCTCTTGACACACATTACAGAGGTACTGCATTTTTTTAAAAATCTTCTTCGGTGGCATATCAGTATTAGCACTCTTGTGGTATGTCCATATTTTAGTCTTAGTGAACTCATTTGAAAAAACTGACATACCAGAATTTCATTTATACAGAAGGCAGTTTAGAGAATCTCATTTCTCATGGTTGAAATCAAGAATGAATGAATGAATCAAGAATTGACATCACTACACTAAGGACATTCCCATACCTGCTCTGTCCCCTTCTTCAGTAGGCAACAAAGAGTTGACATAGCAGTAGTACCAGTTGCAACCTGATTTAAAAAGTCTGTCTCTGTTTTCCCCTCAATGTTGAATCTCTTTCAGAATGTCTACACATTCGCTGTCAAATTAGTTTTTCAGTTTGTAAATTCTCTGTCTGTTCTTTTGCACTGTCCATTTGATCTCATAGAGCCTTCACCACATCCGCTTTATCATATACTTTTTTCTAAAACCAAGCTAACATAAAATTTTCCCATAAGCCTCTGTGATGCAGGTCACAGGGTCATAGCATGAGTAACAAAATACATGTGTGTTTCTTTTTTTGTTCCTGTTAGGTCTTGTGGAATGTATTCCATTTACTGCTTCCCCCTGTTCATGTTTATTTATTACTCCCTTTTTATATCTATAATTTTGAAAGAAAAAGTGTACATAAATAAATTAAAACAAATATATCAGTGACCTGTGCAAAAAATTTTGTTTTTTAATTTAAGTAATTGTCTGGAATTCTTTAAGGGTCATGCCCATTTTTTTCCCAGGGCAAGAAGAAAACATTGAAAGAAAAATGTAGCTTATAACAATACATGGGTCTACAGTCTGATTTGCTTTATGTTGAATTAAGAATTGACATCATAGTACTCGGGACACTCCCATATGCACTTTGTCCCTCATCTCCAGCAGCAAGCGAAGAGCTTTAGGAATATGTTTTGATGATGATTAACACTTCTAGTCCCAAAAAACATACCTGATGTCTGGTTGAGACAGTAATAACAATTATAAAGCAAAAGTGACTGCATTCACTGGGGTCAAATACACAGCAAAATAAAGGGGACATGAATATTTGGAGTGTTTTGGTATGTCCTGACTTCCTTCTTCTTTTGTCTCACTGTTATCAGGTTGTAGACTAGTCTGGTAATCTGGTAATTTTAATTTCAGCTTAATAGCAAACAGGTCACCCCATCTTTGCTCCGCTCCTGTGCCAACGAAAAACACACAGAATGTTTATCACAGTCCCTTGTGGAAAGACTTACAAACTGCTGTCTCAGCAAATCTAGCATACACTCGTATTAAAAGCATATGGTAGCCATCCAAAGTGCTAACACAAACAGTCCGACATTAGAAATGCAGTTCATCATTGATGGTTGCAGAAGTCACCAAAAGATCAGCAGTTGCACACGCAACCAATTTTAATAAAATAATGGCCCCACCAATATTGCGACAACCGGCATCGTGCCATTTTCTGAATCTACAAATCACACCAGACTAGATTCAAGGTTTGTCCTGACTTCCTTCACACTGTTATAAGGTTGTAGACTAGAGTCATGGTTTGTCCTGACTTCCTTCACACTGTTATAAGGTTGTAGTCATGGTATGTCCTGACTTCCTTCACACTGTTATAAGGTTGTAGACTAGAGTCATGGTATGTCCTGACTTCCTTCACACTGTTATAAGGTTGTAGACTAGAGTCATGGTATGTCCTGACTTCCTTCATACTGTTATAAGGTTGTAGACTAGAGTCATGGTTTGTCCTGACTAAAAAAAATTTGTTAAGTAAGGTAGAGATAGGCATGCTCCATGCCGAGTGGCATGCATCGATTCAGAGGTCCCAGGTAGTTAGTGGTCTGCACGACTTAATGGTGAATTGATGTATGACAATGGTGAATTGATGTATGACAATGGTGAATTGATGTATGACAATGGTGAATTGATGTATGACAATGGTGAATTGATGTATGACAATGGTGAATTGATGTATGACAATGGTGAATTGATGTATGACAATGGTGAATTGATGTATGACAATGGTGAATTGATGTATGACAAACTAGATGTGGCGAGGGCTCTTTAGAAGTGAGTGAACAGTGTAGATACACTAATAAATTATTACAGTCTGACCAGAATGGTACTGTGGGGAATTACTAGGAGATTTTACCAATGCTTAACACTCCAGGGAAAGGCGAGACTGATGCACAGTCAGCCACTAGTACCATCAGAACTGGAAATTTTTTCTTGCTGCTGAAGATAGGGACAAAGTGCATATGGGAGTGTCCCATGTGCTATGATGTTGATTCTTAATTCAACATTCAATTTAAAAATAAAAATGTAAAAACATATATTTATAACATTTTGACTGGTACACTTCCCTTGTGGTTTTTGGGAGCTCATTTATGGACAGCAAAGAATAGATCCCTCCCCTCCTAACAATCGTGTCATAGGAGGCGGCCAAAAGGGGTGTTTCCTTAACTCTTTTAGTCCCAATGAATGCATTATACTTTCATAGATTCCTGCCTAGAAGCCCCAATGAATGTAGGATGTGTGTGCTGATTTTACTTCTCTCTTTACTACCCCTTGGGCCTTTGATGCTAAAACTCCTGGTACTGAAAAAGTTAAAAGTCAGAGTGCATCTGCCTGAGAGACAAAGAACCAACAGTCTGATTACACTAAGCCATATTTGTGAAATGGATTTGAAATGCATACAAAACTCAAAATCTGGATCGGGACCAAAGTCCAGGAGTAGATGAACAACATAACTTTCTAATATAGTTTACATCGGGTCAAGGCACATGAGTTACATCCAGTCACAAGTGGTGCACTGTTTAGTACAAAGAGTTATAGACTTTAAATCATGTGACTTATATACTCGCTGCCATCTTTATTTACTGTTGAATATGTGAGTTTAGAAAAAAATCCACTCATTGACTCTTTTATGTTTAGGTCATTAGTCTTCTTCAGAAAACACTCACTGACTCTCTTGTACTTTAAGCCTAATAGATCCTTCTAAAACACACACAACACACACACTGACTTATATTTTTATTCTTAGAAAAATACTAACTTTCTTATATTTTTAGATCAATGGACTCTTCTTCAGGAAACACTCACTGACTCTCTTATATTTTTAGACAAATAGACTCTTCTTCTAAAGAATACTCACTGACTCTCTTATATTTTTAGACAAATAGACTCTTCTTCTAAAGAATACTCACTGACTGTCTTATATTTTAGGACCAGTAGACTCTTCTTCTAAAGAATACTCACTGACTCTCTTATATTTTAGGACCAGTAGACTCTTCTTCTAAAGAATACTCACTGACTGTCTTATATTTTAGGACCAGTAGACTCTTCTTCTAAAGAATACTCACTGACTCTCTTATATTTTAGGACCAGTAGACTCTTCTTCTAAAGAATACTCACTGACTGTCTTATATTTTAGGACCAGTAGACTCTTCTTCTAAAGAATACTCACTGACTCTCTTATATTTTAGGACCAGTAGACTCTTCTTCTAAAGAATACTCACTGACTGTCTTATATTTTAGGACCAGTAGACTCTTCTTCTAAAGAATACTCACTGACTCTTATATTTTAGGACCAGTAGACTCTTCTTCTAAAGAATACTCACTGACTGTCTTATATTTTTGGACCAGTAGACTCTTCTAAAAAAAATGCTCACTTATATTGTTAGACCAATAGGCTCTTCTTCTTAAAAATACATCTGATCACAGGTGGTGCACTATCTGATACTTAAAGAGTTATTCAATTTAAATCATAGGTGCTTGGTGGTCGGAACAAGCTGTGGGAGGACATTGTCGCTTCAGAGATCTTTCAACCTTTAGATATGGCCAACTCCACATTTATGACCAGGGTGAATTTCTCCAGTCCAAATGTGGCTGCCCCATACTATGTTGACAAAAACAAACAGGCAACATTGATTGATGCAGATTTTTTAAGGTCAGAGTGTAATGTTTTTTCTTTTTTTCATCATTTTTCCACGCCATCAGGCATATTGGATGTAAAGGGCTATATATAGTTTATAGACCAATCGGTACTGGGGGGGGGGGGGGGGGGGGGGGGTTGATGTGGACTGCACCTGGTACCCACTCAAGGCTGAGTCGACCTAGGAGCAAGATAAGGCAAGTAGTTTTTATCCTTCCATTCCCTTAAAAAAAAAATTAAAACAGTGCACACCTGATTGTGGATAACTGATTGGACTTCACAGATCATCTGTCCCCTGATGACAAACCGGCGGCCAGGATGCAAAAACACTGGCTAGAACCATAGAGTGCAGCAGAAGTGCCAGATAAGGGAGAGTACTCTGCCATATGTATTCTGGTAGGGAGTAATCCTTTCTGGGAATGAAGCTAAAATACACCAAATAAACAAGATTGTTTGTCACCTTAGAAAACCTTAACAGAAATGTTCAAGAACACCACCATTTGACATCAGAAGGCAATAAATGGCATGATTTTTAATTAACAAAACACCTAATTAGACTGTAAGATGCAATATTCTAAGGATTACAATATACCAGTGGTCGTCAACATTTTTCAGGTAGCGCTCCTTTAAGTATATGGCAAGAATCCCATGCACCATCTGCCCCCTTTCTACCCACCCCAATATAACAACATGTGAATAAAAATAAGAGGAGAAAAAAAAAACACTGTTAACAAGAGAAAAAACATCCACTTAAATCGAAGCGTCAAATCATACATTTAAAAAATACAATCACCAACAATTGACAATTTAGTGTCTAAATATCACGGTGATAGCTGACACTGTTTTGTCTTGATGATATCTGCTATTTATGGTCTGAATTTTGACAAAACACAATGGAAATCACTCTCCACAACAAGATGCCAACACAGATTTATTTTCATGTTCATTAAAGCTGAAAATCCGGATTCGCAAAGGTATGTGGCGGAAAATGGCAAAATAACATACTAATTTAGCCACATGAGAGTACATTGCAAGATATTAAACCCCCCCAAAAAAACAGATTCCTAAAAATATTGCTTCATCTTTAGCCCTTGAATTATACTTCAGCTCATTTGCTTCTTCTTGTATAAACTGTGGCAGTGTATCAGTGTCAAAAATGAAGGAATTTCTGGTTAATTTCCTAGAGCAGTCATCAAGTGACAGATCGGGAAAATAAAGATTAAACTCCTCTAGCAGAAAATTTTGATGTGACTGAACTTTAACTGCAATTTCATTGTTTTTCATTAATTTTTTTATTTTCAAATTACTTATTTTCCAATAGTTCCTTAAGACAAGTAAATTATGTGAAGTTCTTGAATTCAGTTAATTTTTTCCAAACTAATTTTTTTTTTTTTTCACAAAAGCTATGATGGCATCCCCATCAGAGCTTTTGTGCAGATACAGTTGCCATGTCCTCCTTAAAGTTTAAAGTTCAAGTTATTCAAATCTTTAAAAATCGGTAAGATATGTCAGTGAAAATGAGGCAAATTAAGTTTTCAGAAAATTCACGATAGAGATGATCAGAGCTTTTGTGCAGATACAGTTGCCATGTCCTCCTTAAAGTTTAAAGTTCAAGTTATTCAAAGCTTAACAAATCGGTAAGATATGTCAGTGAAAATGAGGCAAATTAAGTTTTCAGAAAATTCACGATAGAGATGATCAGAGCTTTTGTGCAGATACAGTTGCCATGTCCTCCTTAAAGTTTAAAGTTCAAGTTATTCAAAGCTTAACAAATCGGTAAGATATGTCAGTGAAAATTAGGCAAATTAAGTTTTCAGAAAATTCACGATAGAGATGATCAGAGCTTTTGTGCAGATACAGTTGACATGTCCTCCTTAAAGTTTAAAGTTCAAGTTATTCAAAGCTTAACAAATCGGTAAGATATAAAGTTTAAAGTTTAAGTTATTCAAAGCTTAAAAAATCGGTAAGATATGTCAGTGAAAATTAGGCAAATTAAGTTTTCAGAAAATTCACGATAGAGATGATCAGAGCTTTTGTGCAGATACAGTTGCCATGTCCTCCTTAAAGTTTAAAGTTCAAGTTATTCAAAGCTTAAAAAATTGGTAAGATATGTCAGTAAAAAATTAGGCAAATTAAGTTTTCAGAAAATTCAAGAAAGAGATGATCAGAGCTTTTGTGCAGATACAGTTGCCATGTCCTCCTTAAAGTTTAAAGTTCAGGTTATTCAAAGCTTTAAAAATCGGTAAGATATGTCAGTGAAAATGAGGCAAATTAAGTTTTCATAAAATTCATGATAGAGATGATCAATTTTTGGCCCCTAGCACAGTGATTTGCCCAGGACCTATAAAGATATTAAGACAGCCGTCAGTGCATCATTACTGAGAACATAATGGCAGAAACACACTGAAGTTGTTGCTTTCCCTATACTCTCTAACACTGTAAAACCAAACTTAGTGTAGGCATCTTTGTACAACCTTTTCTTTTGACAGCCATTTTTTATTATGTTTGTATCACTAAAATAAAAGCATGCTGAAGAGTTCAACACTTTTTTCTCAAAAATAACACTTCTAAATTGTACGGTAAATGACTAACAAATATTTTTTTTTTAAACTAAAAAAACCTTTTAATATAACATATTATTACAAGTAAATATGCACTCAATTCCAAGATTCCTTCACACCCTCTTTGAAACTTCCTTACAAAAGATCACCATGGTCTGAGGAGGATGGAGCTTCTACGAGTGACTAGGGGATTTTACCAATGCTCAACACTCAAGGGGAGGGGCGAGATGGATATAAAATCAGACTGTTACTGGTATCATTAGAATTGGAACTCTGTGCTTGCTGCTAAAGATGGGGATGGAGTGCTGGAAAGTCAATTTTTATTTCAACATTCAACGTACTGAGCATCATTACCACCATGTAACCAGAACGGCCTATATAATGAAGTGGAGCCTTTACTCTTTTATAGCTGATTTCCTTGATCTATTGAATGAAGGGTCTATTCGAGCAATGGAGGATCAGGAGCTATTATGTCTACAGCAAATGACATGGGCAAGTATCTGCAGTTTCTGGTCAATGGTGGCAAGAACCAGGAGGGGAAACAAGTGGTAGAGGTCAGTGACCCTGCATGTTGATGACTATGTTATTCTATACATTATCCCTGTGGGGGTTTCAGGGTCTGATTGGGGGGGGGGGGGAGACTGCACCACTACCTGCTTAATAAGCATATCATATAAGCTGACTAATTAGGGGTGTTTTCTTTGAAGTCTGAGTGCATCTGCCTGAGAGACAAGGAACCAACAGTATGTGTGAGACATGTATAACAGCTGTGCAAGCAAAACTCAAGTTCTGGAGCAAGACGAGCAGCCAAAACTTTCCGTCAGAGTTTACAGCTGGTGAACATGAAGAAGAAGAATATTCCATGCATTGTATTGTTTCTAAGGTATTGATGTGTTTCCGCTAATGGATGGAAATTTTATCTGTTGAGTTTTTAAAAATCAAAATCAAAATCTGCACAGCTCATAGTGAATGCACTAGCTATGCAGTCTTAAATTCTCAGTGGGTTGCATGATCTTGAGGTATGGTGTCAGCCTCGAGTGCTAGAGGTTCCAGGTTCAATCCCCGGTAAGAGCTGGGATTTTTTCACATGGACCTGGACTTCTAGTAATTCCCCTTTGGTCTCTGGGTAGTGAGATCATATGCCCGTGCACATCGTTACATAAAAAAAAATGCCTTGGCAGTTGGAAATTTAAAAGAGTAGCCTAATGGCACTGCCCGTGCAAAAATTTGGAGTTAAAAATCTACCCAAAGTATTTCAGGATCCTCGCCGGTGCTACAGATCCTGTGCACTGTGCTGAGCTTCTTCAGACTCTTCTTCTGTGAGCTACACAACTAGCAAAAGAAGGAAACAACATCATCTAAATTCTCTCTGCCATCTTCATAAAAATGCTATAACTCCTCTGATTATAATAGTAACTTAAACTGTTAAATTCCTAGAATAGTATGAGTTAAAGAAAAGCCTACTTTGTACTGATAGAGTCAAACCTCTTTCCCCCTCACTTGTAACATGATCTGTGAGTAAATCCAGCTTTCTTTTACCCCACAATTCTAGACTTCTGAACTTCAGGCAGCGTTTGCACCGCTCGCAGCCTTGCCTTTGAGCTCACAACAGTATCCAATAGCAAAACCGGTTACCCCTGTAACCATGAGCACGGATAACTATGGTTTGGGCTGGAGACGGGGATACTACAGAGGTGAGTGTCTAAATGTTTGACTGCAGTTTTGATGATGCTAGTTATAAAAAAATGGAGAAAACAAACACAGTTGTCTCCGACTGACTGACATTCAACCCCACCAGGACATCACACTGAGTGATATACACCTGTTGATTCAAAGTGTCACCGTACAGATGACGATCACACGGAGATAGGTCCCAGAAACCCTGTTCAACCAGTAGGTTATATTAGGGCCCCAGACAACAGCCGGAGTGGGGCTTGAAATAAAAAATTTCATGTCATATTGGGATGTTTTATTGATGTAATGTACAGTTGTCTAGCTTTATTTTCTTCTTGTAACTTCTTTTTTTTTTTCTTTACTAATTATCATTCTCTCAACATTTGCCTGTGTGTCGTTTTGTTCATTTTTGATTTGTTTTTACACACTAAGCTAGCCTTGTTGGTTAAAGGTGAACAACTAAAAGGAAAGAGTTTTTTATTTCTGGGCAACCACAAACAAGGGAAATCCACAGGTCACGGGACAGTCCAGTATTTAAGGGGGTGGTAGATTAAGTGTATAGTTTTGTAATTTTGCATTTCGTGTGCTGTGCAGTTTTGTGCTTTTCAGTTTTCAGTTTGTGTGCTTCAGTTTTGTTTGCTATGCATTTTTGGTCTGTTGTGGACTTATGGAGTGCATTTGGGGGGATGCAGTTTTGCTGGAGAAGAGGATGCAGTTTGTGTGTGTGTGTGTGAACTCTATGTGCAATCAGCAGGATGCCTTGCCAGTTGGGGTACCTGGGGGTGGCCCTAAAAAGAGCCAGTCGTTCTAAATGTATACTGCTTAGTTCAGCAGTTTTGTGGACTATTGTTCTTTTGATGCAAAATGCCATGATGTTGCAGGAAAGCAACGCTGCTCTTTTTGTCATGTACCGATGCTGCTAATTAAATTTTTAAAATTATCATCACCACCAAGTATGAACTAGGTTCTTTGCAGAAAATCATTCTCATCACGGTCTGCCTGAAAAAAAACTCACTTGCCTTATCTCCAGCCTAGTGCATTTCCACACCCAAGGAGTCACTTAAATCTTGTGCCCAACTTCATGTTGGTTGGCCCCTGCCCCTCCTTCATGGCATTATGCTTTCTTATGTAATTGTTTCCACATTTGCCGCAGACAAGACAAGATGCTGTTTATTAGCCAATCTTCCTTGATGTTCAGATCTTTTAGGACGTCAGCATTTCTTCTCTTCTTTGTCCATAGTATTCTGAAAATCTGTCTATAGCATTTCAGTTCAGAAGCCACTGTTTATTTTCCTTAAGGACTGAGAGATAGTCCACGACCCACTCTGTATGTTGCTACATATAAGACTTTAAAATAAAACTGTACCATCTCCACATTGGAGGTTGGCTGCAGTTCATTTGATGCCTAATGTGTCACATCTGTTCATTTTGAAAGTCAGGCTTTGGGCTGTCTGTGAGCCACATACCTGTCATGGAGGCTCAATGTATATTGGGTCTGAAACAGACAGTGGCGATAAAAACTCTCCTCCAACCTCCTCCCTACCCTAATGTGATATTTTCAGACCCTCCCTCCTCCCACCCCTCACCCCAACTGTACCTTTTTTAGGAGGCCTTAATTGGCCCAACACCGTGGTGTAGCGGCTAGACTGCAGAGTTGTGGGTTCAGGTCTGGACAGCCAGACTTTTCTCAGACATGACTTTGGCTCCAAGCTCGACCCAGCCTTAAATGTGTACCAGGTAATGTCCTGGGAAGTAATGGCTGGCATGATATAGACAACATCATCCATTGTGTGCCAGTTGGTCTATAAACAATAGGTCTAAAACTGTGTGCCCAATATGCCTAAAGGTGTGGAACAAAGTCTTTTAATTTTTAATGCTTCCAAAAAACCTGTGCTCCGACATCTCTGTCTGCATGTGCTGCGCTGAACCATGACCTGGTTAAATCATAATATGTCTTTCTTCACACGTAATTTCCATCACCAGTGTTGCACACTTTACTAGTTTCTAAGCTTGGAGAGTGAAAGTCGGGTCGAGCTCTGCAGCACAGCCTCTGTGAAGACGGTACATTTGTATTGAACTAAGAGAACGGTCTTTTATCCTCCTTCAACTAATGGAAGAAATATCTTTTTAGGGCTTAGAACACCTAAAGCCCACTCTATCAGATTAGACAATTCAAAACGTATTATTTTCTTGAAGATTGACAACCAGCCAAAAGTAATTTAAAATGTGTGTCTTCCTGTTGCAAATGTCAATAAGAGCACAGACAATCATCATCATTCAATGCCTTGCAGACTGGCGTGGGCACTCATGACTATCCACAATCTGTGATCTTTAACAGCATGTATCAGTATGTGTGTTGACACTCCTCCATGCCATGACAAAATACACTTAAGAATTGTCTTTCTCTGTGTCTTTTTTCCATAGATCTTTCCAGTGGTCACTACATATTCCAGTTTCCTTCTTCTTATAACATGACTACGAAAGAACATAAACAATACAATTTACAATTTAGTGCCTGGTAATTTCAGTTTCTCTTCTGATGAATTACTACACAGCTTACATCAACCTATAATAATGCACACAAAATCTCCTTCTCCTTCTTCTTTTGTTCACTTGAAATAGATTATCTCCTTTTGCAAAGTTGTCTCTAGTATACTATTAACTTCATTGTCTGTTGTAATTCTTCAAACTGAATTTCACAGATCATATAGTCTTTTCTCATACTGTACATCCCACAATAGAAGTCAAAGATTGCCCACATGATCCTAATAAAATTTTGCAATTGGACAAAAATTTTTTTTTTTTTTTTTTTTTTAGGTTATAAAATGATCCAGCATACTGGATCAACCCATGGATACAATTCTATGATTACCATCCTGCCTCATTCTGGAAGTGCCGTCTACACCGCCTTGTCTGGATATGATGGTGGCTACAGTTTCCGGGCCAGCTTGCACTGTGCTATCTTGGATCTGCTTCTGCACGAGACCCCTTGGATCAACTCTACAACCATCGCCAGTTTTCCTTCTCCTTGGGTTAGAGCAGCCCGGAGAAAAAGAAATACCCTTAATGTAGTTAACAATGAGGAAAAAGATGGTTATATTGCAAAGAAATTAGCAGAAGAAGCGGAGGATGGTGTCTGGTGGTCACAAAGAGCTGTAGAGGGAGAATCACCTCTAATTAACAAGCGCTGTAAAAGAGATAGCGACAACATCTTGAATATGTCACTGATCAGTTTTACAGGTAACTATTTTCATGGAGCTTACGGCAAAGCAAATATCACTCTTGATTTAGCAGCTAACAAGCTAAAAATGTTTTATGGGATTGGAAAATGGAATCTGAGTTACACCGGAAGTGATTTGGAGTTTAATGCTGACTGGTTAGGTCAGCCACCTTCGTATGACATTCAGCTGAAATTCCTGGCTAAAGAAAACGTCTATGGTTTTGAATGCTTAGATTGTGACCCAAAATATGTGCCTACTTTTTATAGACATCAATATGTTTCCTCCTCTTCAAATAATAATAATAATAATGCGTACATCTTTGTTGTTGTCATTTTCTTTATTGGATTTATTAACCTTTAATGATGTGCTATGTGAATTTATCATATGATGCGGAGGGAATTGTGGGACAGGAAGTTACCAGGAGATCTGGTCAACACTCTACATTCAGATAAAAGGCAAGACATACATATAATCAAACTACTACTGGTATCATTGAAATCTTTCACTGGCTGCTAAAGATGAGGATTGAGCATGTATGGGAATGTTCCAAGTGCTATGATATCAATTCTGACTCAGTTCAGCTGAACTTATTGACCCAAAAGTCAGTATTTATAGCTGATGTTTTCCAGCGTTTCAAGGTATGATAATTTCTAGTGGTAGGAAAAAGCATTCATCCCTTTGTGGGATGCTATTTTTAGTTATTTTGAAGCCCCACCCTGGCTTTTGCCAAGGGCCCTAAATATAGCCAGGCCTGAAATGTGCCCTAACGGCTGAACGGGATTTCCGGCACATTTCTAGGGGTGATCCTCATCTGCATAGTGGCACTTGGTGTCACTGGGTGTTTATCACTTTATGTGATATCCTGGTGGGGTACAATTTACATACGTTCACAGTAAGTAAATACATGAAATTGAAAATATTAATTCAAGTTTAGAAGAAAGAATCAACAGTAGCAGAAAAGTAATGGTCAGTTTCACAAGAATGAAATCACTGGTAGCAGAATGAATGTGATGGCTGGATGGCCTCCCCTCAGCATGCAAATTCTAAATGGAAGAGAACTAACCAAATTACGCCAGATTTTGTCCCAGAGTAGTTTTTTTTTTTTTTTTTTTTTTTCAATTTTCTCAATTCCACTCATAATATTTTTAAACCATAGAAACATTATTTGTTTTATCCTTAACAGCAGGACTGGGGAATACCGAAGAAGTTAACAATGTGACCAGACTATCTTCTTCTTCATCTTCATCTTCACATTCACCGGCTGTAAACTCCGGCAGAAAGTTTTGGTTGTTCGTCCACTTCTGGACTGCAGTCCTGTTTCAGAACCTGAGTGTTGCATGTGCATCCATTTTACAGATCTAATTTGTGTGCAGACTGTTGGTTCCTTGCCTCTCAGGCAGATGCACTCCGACTTCGAAGGAAGCTCCCAATTAGTCGACTCCCACCACATGCTTTTGGGTAGGTAGTGGATCTATTCTTGTTTTTCCTATAATAGGGCCCTGGAACCCACACGGGGTTGACCAGACTTTGTATGGAAGACACTTTTAATCTTCTTATTTGGCCTACTGCTTACGCCCTAAAGTGTTGCAGTGAAGGAATTAGATGCAGTTTCCTGTCTTTTGCTAGATGTGTGGCCTGTGTTTATGTCATATTGCATTTCTGTAGAGTCTCTTTTACTCCATCCATCCATCTCTTTCTCTGGCTGCTGGTTGATTTTGTTCCATTCTTAGATTACCAAACCATGTGATTATTTAATGTGCTGTGAAATCATCCACGGTACTGTATAGAATGATTAGCCTCCAGCCGACATCATCACATAAACTCCATAGCCCCAGTAACAATCCCCCAAGAATCTGTTGAAATTGCATCGTTGAAAAAGTCTATAAAACAAATCAACATGCTTCAGAAAATGAAGCAAACATCCAAACTATGTAGACTCTCAAGCATAGACAAACTGACACAAATGTTGGGGGATTTTTCTGTAATTTGTTTCCACTCCAGTTAAATCAGTGTCCTTTTATTTTTGGTTACTGATGAAGGTTGTTTACCAGCGATGCTAATTCCACTAAGTCTTTCTGCCAGTCCCACTGTGTTTCAGCATATCTCAAGTTGTTTTCTATTCTTCCATTGATATTCAGGTTGTAAATATATATATTATGTATTGCCATACATTTAGTATATAAGTAAGTATTATGTATTTAAGTATTATTCAGTATATAAGTATACATTCATGTATGTATGTATATATTCATTGTATAAGTGTAAAGTCAGTACATAACTAAATACTCTCCAATAAAAAGTTAAAGAATCATAAAGTATATATTCAGTATAAAAATATATATTCAGTATAAAAGTATATATTCAGTATAAAAGTATACATTCAGTATAAACGTATATATTCAGCATAAAGGTACATATTCAGCATAAAGGTACATATTCAGTATAAAAGTATATATTCAGTATAAAAGTATATTTTTCTGTATAAAAATTGAAAAGGCTTTTTTTTTACTTGTTTGTTTATGCGGAGGCGCAGATGGATCATTACGGTCTGAGGAGAATTGCGCTGTGAGGAGTTACCAGGGGATCTGGCCGACTCTCAACACTCAGGGCAGGATAAGATGGATATACAAATAGATGGTTACTGGCAACATCAGAATTGGAACTCTTCGCTTGTTGCTGAAGATGGGGACTGAGCACTTATGGGAGTGTTTATACACTCAGTATAAAACTATGTACTCAGTATAAATCTATGTATTCAGTATACATATTTAGTATACAAAGTATATGTATGTATATATATATATATTAGGGCTGTACCGAATAGTGATTTTCACTATTCGGCCGAATATGAATAGCGGGACCAACTATTTGACCGAATACGAATAAGAATAGTGCATTATTATCATCAGGTGCCTTGCCGACTGGTGTGGGCGATTATGCCTCGCCGACTGGCATGGGCGATTATGCCTCACCACAATCTGCGATCTCCTGGAGCATGTATTAGTTCAAGTGCTGACACACCTCTATGCCATCAACAATACTGTCAAGAATCTTCTCTCGTTGTCTTCCTCTATCCCTCCTTCCACAGATCTTTTCCCTCTTCTCATAATATGGCTGCAAAATGATGTCTCCTTCTGATGTCTGTGATAGGTTGTCTTCGAGCTCCCGCCTCTTTCAAAACCTTTTGTTTGCTTTTTTTTTTTGGCTGTCCAGTCTATTTTAAGCATTGTTCTGTAAAACCACATCTCTGAGGCCTCAAGAAATTGTTTGGCCTACCTACCGATTGTCCAGGACTCACAGCCATGTTAAAACTGGATGTATGTAGCAAGCAAGAATTCTTTTTCTAACCTTCAATGACAAGGATATATTGCATAAGATGTTCTTCATTTTATAAAATGTAGTTTTTGCCTGTCCTATTCTGTTTCTTATTTCAGTAATGCATCTTCCATCTGATGTTATCCATGTGCCCAGATACTTCAATTTCTGTACTTGTCCCAAAATAACACCATTGACTTTTATTACACATTCAGGAATAATTATTTTCTTTGATACCACCATTACTTCTGTCTTCCCACTATTCAAACTGAGGCCCATTCTTCCACTTTCGAATAGTGTATTGTGTATAAAATATATCTTTAAAAAAACATTTCTAATGTCAAATTACGCTGAAATTTTATTTCACAAACTATAGTACAGAATAGTAAACATTTGAAAACATTTTATGTTTTGCATTCTTAAGTTATTCAGTATGTGGTAACTAATACCTCGGAATGAAAGTATTCTTAGTTTTATAACAAGTAACTAAACTTGTAAATTGTCACTGACAGCTTAGTTAATATATATATATTCAGTATAAACATATGTATTCTGTAAAAAGTTTAAAAGGCTTGATTATGAATGACATTCCTGCATTTCTCTCTCGCTTTCTCTCTCTCTCTCTCTCTCTCTCTCTCTCTCTCTCTCTCTCTCTCTCTCTCTCTCTCTCTCTCTCTCTCTCTCTCTCTCTCTCTCTCTCTCTCCTAATGTGTTCTTATAAATATAACATTGTGTGTGCATTTTGTTTCTTATTTTTCTTATCTAAATGAATTTTTAATACTCTATGTAACTTATAATGTATATTTTTTTTCCTTTTTTCCACAGGTTGAGAATTTATAATATTATTTATAACTTCCAATGGCTATTTTGTTTCCTTAAAGCCTGGTTATGAATTTTGAAAACTGTAATTCCTAATAAGCATTTTGTTTCGTTTTTCTCTTCTTATGAATTTATAACAATATTGTATGTAATATAAGCATTTTGTATTATTTCATCCTATTAGAAATGAGGAAATCAACAGTTGATACCACTGCACTCAAGATATTCCCACACATGCTACATCCCCTTCTTCAGTAGCCAATGAAGAGTCAGCCTGCTTATAGAACCAATTTCAACCCGCCTATGTTTGCCTGTCAGTGTCAGATATCTTCCAGGACCTCTACTCCCCCCCCCCCCCCTTCCACATCCTGATTATAAATGCGGTAGTGTCGTGGCCAGACACTTAGCTGCCAGCCCGACTTTCTGGGTTTGAATCTGCATCGACTCTGACTTTTTATTCTTCAGAATCAACCTTGGCTACTAGGTCAACCCAACTTAAATTTAATACAATAAACGGGGAAGTAAAGGCGGCCGGCGTGATGTCGATCACTTCAACCATCGAGTGTCGATTGATCTGTAAAAATATGACTCTAGCAGCATCAAATGTCCTGTGTGCCCAAAGACATAAAGAGGTTCCTTTACTTTACTAATGCTTTTTGCAACTTCTTATGAGCTGTTATAAATTTTAAGGAAAATGAAAAGAGTGTACTATAGGAGAAACTACAAGAATACATGGCCATTCAGATGACATTGATATAGTTGGAGAAAATAAACTAGAGAAAATAAAACACTCACTTAAAGGAAGCAGCTCAAATAATGGGACTAGTTATCAGTTAAGACAGGGGTTTAACAACAGAGTAAAAGGATAAAACTCCAGTAAATACTAACAGATAATGTGAAAATCAAAGGAATGGAAATAGTTAATCCACAGATTATCCTCACTGCACATCGAACAAGTCCATAACCGCTTGGATCCTATCTTTGGTATACCCCTCAGCGTGTGGCGACTAATAACACCAGTTCTGTGTTGGTTTTACTCACGGCCTTCTCTATTTATCTAGAGAAGGCGGTGGTTTTACTATTCTTTATAAACAATTTAATATAAGCGCACGGAAATAACAATGTACAAGGACTTCAACTGCTTCCCCATACTAATAGAAGAAATAAAATCTGGAGATAAAGTATTCGATTCCTTACATCATCATGTAGCAGGTCCTTTGCAGAAC